GGGACAGTGGACAGTGGTGGTGACGGTGGTGGTGGGGACAGTGGTGTGGGGACAATGGGAATGAGGTGGAAACAGTGGGACAGTGGAGGGTACAATGGTGATGGGGACAGTGGTGAAGGCGGTGGCGAGGACGGCGGTGGGACAATGGGACAGAGGTACAGCGGGGACAGTGGTGGGGACAGTGGGGACAGTGGTGGGAACAGTGGGACAGCTCAGTGGGACAGCGGAGGAGTCAGTGGGACAGTGGGGACAGTGGGGATAGTCGGGCAGTGGTTGGGGCCGTGGAGACAGTGGGGAGAGGGGAACCGTGGTGGGAACAGTTCTGGGGACAGCGGGGACAGTGCGACAGTGGTGGGGCCACTGGTGGGGACAGTAGGGGCGGTGGTGGAACCAGTGGGGACATCGGTGGTGAGGACAGTGGTGCTGGGAACACCAGTGGGGGATGTGATGCGGACGGTGTTGGGGACCGGGAGTCGTTTGCTGGCGGTGAGTAGGGGGGGGGGGGGGGGGGGGGGGGGGGGGGGTTCGAAAACGTAGTGGCCCCCCCCGGTTTTCCGGATCCGGAGGGGGGCGGGGGGGAGGGGTTCGAACCGGTAGTGACCCCCCCCGGTTTTCGAGGGGGGAGATGGGGGGGGGGACGGGTTAGGGGAGGGGGGGGTTTTGCTGGGGGAGGGGGGGGGGGGGGAGGGGGGGGAGGGGTCCAGCAGGGGGGGGGGGGGGGGGATTTTTCGGGAGGGGGGGGGGGGCGACCCCCGGGTTCCGGAGGAAAAGGCTGGCAATTTTCCATAGTAAAGCGGCGGTGGATCACGCTCTCTCTTAACTTCTATAGATCTATTTATGTATAAATCCGCTACGTGACCATCTTGAACAGCGGTTTCTTGGACCTGCCAGCAGCCGGCACAAGGAGTGGTCTGAAGTATGCGCAGCAGGACCTGACGGCACTACGGCAACGCGCATTCACCGAGGAGCTGCCGCTGCAGAAATCGACCGCACATTCCCGGAACGTGTCAGTCCTTTTCGTTGGCGCGACACATGGTAGGAAAAAAGGAGCCGAAAATGACAACAAACGAAATTATCCTGCTGTCCCTAAGAATTACGACGCTGAACCGAGATTGATGGTTCAAGGATTTCATGGTCCCGACACTGCAGCGCTGAGCCGCACCGTACCGACGCCCTGCCGGATTGCGCGCCGACGCAGGGCCGCTCCTGCAGCAATCCAGCGGCCCGTCGTTTGGCGATCCTGGCGGCGCTGACGAGAATCGCGGGCGACCTCAGTGGTTGCGCATGGTTTCTTTTTTGTGCCGTGTTTGTACGCCGTGTCCTTTAGAGTAGCGAGCCGTCGCAGGGCGTTCTTGCGGCTCTCTATCGACCCGCTTCCTGCGGACCCGGGCGGCGCTGACAAGAGACGCGGGCATGTGTGCACATAACGCTACGCAAGTACACCATCCAATTACACTACACGTGGCGCGCCCCCTGGCATGTCATCGTGCGGCGCGGTACAGCGCAGCGGGGCACAACACAACCGTTGGCACAGTAGCATCACCGCTGATCTCCCGCACTGCAACTGCCCATCGCCCAACCGAGGTGCTTGGATGCGCCCCCAGGACTCGCAGTTCTGAATCCCTTTCCCGTTTCGTGGGCTGATCATGGAAACACACGATGTGGAAATAGTTGGACAAACGAGCTTCGCGGAAACACGACGAGGTATGTCCACGCGAAAACATTGCGTCCATTCGTTACGCGAAGTACACTAGGCGTATACACGACGCAAACACACTACGCCAAAACACGATTCGAATACACCACTCACAAATTCTACGTGGCGCGTCCCTTGCCACGTCATGGTGCGGGGCGGCGCAGCGCAGAGGAGCACAACACAGCCCTTGGCGCAGTAGCATCACCGTTGCTATCTGCAGCGCTGCCAATGGCCATGGCCCAATTGGGGTGACTGGAAGCGTCTCCTGGCCTCGCACTTCTGAATCCCTGTCCAGTTTCGTGGGTCGACCATGGAAACACATGACGCGGAAACGCGCAATCAAACACATCACATAGTTTTACGCATATATTTCTACGCAAATACATTACTCATGTACACTACGTGTCGCGTCCCCTGGCACGTCATGGTGCGGCGCGGCACAGCGCAGAGGAGCACAACACAGGCCTTGGTACAGTAGCACCACCATTGCTATCTCCAGCATAGCGACTGGCCATGAACCAATTGAGCTGTTAGGAAGCGTCCACCGGCCTCGCAGTTCTGAATCCCTTTTCCTGGGTCCTAGGCCGATCGTGGAAACACACGGCGCGAAAACATTACTCAAACACATGGCGCTGAAATGCAGCGCGGTATATCCACGCGGAAACACTACATCCATTCGCTACGCGAAATACTTGGTGCAAATATTGTTACGCAGGTACACTATTGACATACATTACGTGTCGCGTCCCCTGGCACGGGCTGGTGCGGCCCGGCACAGCGCAGAGGAGCCCAACATAGCCCCTGGCACAGTAGCATCCATGTTGCTACTTCCAGCCTTGCCACTGCCCATCGTCCAATTGAGGTGCCTGGAATCGTCCCCATGCTTCGCAGTTCTGAATCCCTTTCCGGGTTTCTGGGCCGATCATGGAAACACACGGCGATAATACATTACACAACACAACACGGAAACGCTACGCGTTCATTCCCCGCGAAAACATGGCATCCGTTCGTTACGCGAAGTACACTACCTAACTACACTCCGCAAATGCATTGCGCAAGTACACTACGTGTCGCGTCCCTCGGCACGTCATGGCGCGGTGCGGCACAGCGCAGAGGAGCACAAGCCCCTGGCACGGTGGCATCACCATTGGTATCTCCAGCATAGCGACTGCCCATCGCCCACTTGAAGTGCTTGGAATCGTCCCCGGGCCTCGCAGTTCTGAATCCTTTTCCGGTCTTGTGGGTCGACCTTGGGAACCAATGGCGCAAAGCCATTCTGCGGAAACATTACGCGCTATTCTCACGCGGAAAAAGACGTCCATTCGCTACGCGAGATACATTGCGTCTATACACCACGCAAGCACACTACGCAGATTATCTCACCCTTAGGCGTCAGTCTCACAAGCATGGGTCCCTTGCCGAGGGGGTCCCCCGATTCTAGTACACCCCTTCACCAACACCGTGATCCCAGGAAGTGAGATACCTAGACCTTCCCAGTTCCCTTCCCCTTCCCTCCCTTGGTTTCTAATCCCTCCACTTCTCTTCTCCACCCTGCCCTGGCCACCTTCCGGACATCTCCTTATCCAATTTGCCCATGCCGATCTTTTTGCTCTCCATCCCCCCCGCACCGTAGAGAAATTTGTTCAACGGTGCCAGCACCGGCAGCGAGCTGCCCCCACGGGTTGCGAAGTTGCAAGCAAAGATCAAGAGCAAGACCGATAGGGCAATCCATGCATTGAGAATCCCAGATTGAGTCGACAAGTGTATGGTGTCAACGATTTCACGCTGACTTAGAAGGTGCCAAAGTCTGAATTTCCACGCAGGAGCCGCAGTGCTTGGGGAACGGTGCCCAGATTTTTTTTAGTTCGATGGCCCAGCCAGTGCGGTCTGGACCCAGATGGGCCCAGGGCAACTGCCACATCGGGCCACCGTGCCCTGCAGGGTGGTCACTCCAGGAAGCTAAGCCTACTAACGGGGCTAGGGCGCCCCAGAGCCATCTTACCTCAAGCCCTCCTCTTCCTCGTCCGTCCGTCCCCTTCTCTCCGTCCCTCCCCTTCTCTCCCCCCACTCACCTCCTCTCTCCTCAGTCCTCCCTCCCTCCTCCCCCTCATATTCCTCCCTCCTCTCTCCTCCCAGTCACTCCTTCCCTCCACCTCGCCTCTCTTAGTCCTCCCTCCCTCCCTGCTCCCATCTCCTTTCTAATATTGTGAAGGCCTGACGGCCGGTGCCGCTGACCCTGAAAGACATCGACGACGACAAGGAGGGGGAGGAGGAGGAGGAGGAGGAGGAGGAGGAGGAGGAGGAGGAGGAGGAAGGAGGAGGAGGCAGTGATAAGGAGGAGGAGGAGGGGGAGGTCCTCCTCCTCCCCCTCATATTCCTCCATCCCCTCTCTTCCCAGTCCCTCCTTCCCTCCACCTCCCTCCTCCTCTCTTAGTCCTCCCTTCCTCCCTGCTCCCATCCCCTTTCTTATATTTCTCCCTCCTCCTCCTCTAGCCGACCTCCCATATGTGCCTGGGTGAAACTGTGAACACAATGCCTTCCCTTGTGGAGGTGTCCCTGCGCCTTGGGCAGGGGGAGTGATCTCACCGAAGCATCGACGCGCAGCGAGATCTAAGAAGAGCGCCTCCTTTCCGAACCCCCAGGCATCAGTCAGGCGATCGCAAACATGGATCAAGGGGGCGTGGATTAGCAACGGGTCCCGCTTCCATGGGAAATCGCTGATTTCTGCCGCCGAAAAGGCGGCATTGGCCGCATTTTGGGGAGGGCACATCGCCTGATCCATGCTTGCGCGGCCCCGAATCAGAATGGAGGCGATGGCTTTTCCATGGAAGGGTGCACGTGCGGGGTAACTTTAAACTCGGAACTGCCGCGCGCCCACGCGCCTCGCGGAGAGCCCCCAGAGCCTGCGGAAAAACTTGGGACGGGCCTCCCTCCAAAAAAATAGCGGTCGGATGCGCAGCGTGTTGCGGCCAGTTTTCGCCGACCAGGCTTTGGCGCGACACGCGAAACACGTCCCCTTTCCGTTTCCACGCTTCGACCTTTTCTTGGCACCGCGCCCGCGGCACGTTAAGAGGAAGTCTTTGACCGTAGTCATATGGTTGGGCCACCTTGGCCCGTGGGAGGGGGTGGGGTTACCAGTCTCGAACTTATCCGTATCCCTAAGGTCGGCAACACCAAGGTAGTGACAATCCTCGGGATGTGCCCTCAGAAATTGAGGGAATCCTTACGATCGGCACCGAATGCCGAACATGGGGGCCAGGATCTGCTTTAGGCTGCGGTCGGGCGGCCAGTCGACCGCGCATAGGTGGCCCTGCAGATCGAGGTCCTCGAGGTGCTGCGCACCCTGAGCTCCCTCCCCGGCCACCGGGGCATCGACATAGGCGGGGCGGCCGGAAGCGCCCGCCCGACCCGTGCCGCTCGGCGGGGGCGCATCGATCCCCCAAATCGCCCGCCCAGCGCCGACGGGCCTTTTGGTCCTCGGCGAGGGCCTTCGAGGAGCATCCTCGACCGTCTGGCAACGACAAGCACGCACGAGACCGAGACGGGCCCAGGGAACGGACGTCCGAGCGATGGCAAGTGCATCCACCTCGAGCCGCGGGCGGAGCCCAGCCTCTCGCAGGGCCCCGCCGTGGCGGGGGGCCTGGCACCGGAGGGGAAAAAGGGGTGCTCGGCCAGGGATCTCGGGAGCCTGGATCGGTGGGGGTCCATGCAGACGCGGGATCCTGCAGAGCCAGGGGTCGCAGGCGGTTGTTCTCACCCAGTCCCCGAGTTCCGCCCGACACGTTTGGCCGCTGCGGGACAGGGGAAGCCCTGGGATGCACCCCAGGGGGGTTATTTGGACGCTTCCGAGGGTTGGGCCCAGAGTTTCTCGTCCATCCCAATACACCACGAAGCCTGGGATAGGGGTCGACACCTCCCCTGTTGAGGGGTCCAGTGACCCGTGCAGGGTCCTGCAGGATCCTGCAGAGTCCGACTGGCCCGGGTTTACTCCGACCCGGGTCAGTGCGTGCCCGAAGCGGCTGCGCCGCTGGCCGGTGTCTCGGTTCGGGGAGGGCGGAGTGGCGGGCCAGCGGGGAGTCGACGAGGGGCACGGCCTTCGAATTTAGGCGGGAGACCGGGGGCAACGATAGCGGGGGGGCAGGCCCGGGGGGGATGCATCGACCCTTACTCGCCCATTCATCGCCTCGGGGGTTCTATCACCAGTCCATCGGCGATGCATCGCCGATTTCCGCTCGGTGTTCCCCCCCTGAGCTGGTCCCCCCCTGCCGCTGCCCCTCAACAGAGAAGAGGGGGAGCCAGGCTGTGGTGAGAGATTGGTGTCAGGGTCGGCGGGGTCTCCAGCGGCACAACAGGCGGAACGCTCTCGAAGACAATCCTGGGCGTGCCCCGGGAAGCTCTGCAGAACTTGGAGTTTAAGGCGTCCTTCGGGAAGAGTGGCAGACTACACAGGGACCTGGCGTTCAGCCTGGACTTGAATGGAACTCCATTCGAGTTTGTATTTTTCTCTGGGACGACTTCGAAACTGGAGGAGGCCATCACTTTCGTGAGCGAGATGAGGGCCATGCGCGGCCAGGCTGACACGAGGTCTTCGGATGCCGCGCCCACGGATCAGGAGAGGCACCGGCGTTCGCGTCAGATTGCCCAGGCCGCAGAGGCCAGGGAGGATTTGAGGTCTTCTATTATTCAGTGGCCTCGGGCCTATCCCGCCGCCATCCTGACTGGGTTGCGGGCGTGAGGTGCAGTGGGGACATGGTCGGGAGCGCTGTGGCTTTGAAGAGTGTCAGCCCGGGCTCTCTCTTCGGGCTTCGTTCAGGTTTCATGGGGTGCTCCTGGCAGCCTCTTGGGTGTTTCTGGATGGCCTGGCGGTGAAGCGCTCTGAGGACTCCTTCTGGGGACTCTCTTGTGGCCACGGGGGCCCTTCTGGGGGGAACCTCGGAGCGGAGAGGACGTCCGAAGGCGGTCTTGGGAACCTCCGGGGCCGTCTTGCACGCCATAAAAGTCCGAAACGGAGACAACGTTCGGCTGCTCAGCCTCCTCCTCCTCCTCCTCCTCCTCCTATGAATGATGAAGCAACGAGGGATCATCCAGCCAAGGTTGATCATGATGATGAAGCCAGGATTGCCATCGGGGACGACGACCACGACCGCGACCACGACCACGGCGGCGTGGGCCCGCATGCAGACGTCACCTCTGGGGCCGCAGACAGAGCTCCATCTGGGACACGATCCGCGCAAGAGTCGTGCCGAAATGGGCGTCGGCCAGCATGAAGGCGCTCCCACTAGGGCCGACGATTCCGACGGCGACGACGACGACGACGAGCGAGTCCGACGGCGACTCCGAGGACTCCGACGACGGCGATTCCGACTCCGATGGCGACAGCGACTCCGTTCGATTCGATTCCGACGTTGGCAACGATGACAGCGCTTATCACGATTCCGACGACGATTCGGATTCCGACCGCGAGTGCGACTTCGACAACGTCGGCGCTGACAGCTCCGACGACGACGCCGACGACGCCGACGACTCCGACCACTCCGACGACTCAGGCACCGACTCTGACGATTACGACATCGACGAGGACGGAGACTCTGCCCGTTCTGACTCCGACGGCGACTGCGACGCGACTCCGGTGACCGCACAAGAAACCACCGCATCCAGACGTTCTGGTAGTTGTTTAAATGTTATTGTGTGCCTGTCTCTGCGTTGCGGCGGTCGTTGGCACATGTGTTTATTTCACGCAGTGTTTTCTCGTAAGGTTGCAGCCTTGCCGCATGCAGCGCGTTTCCCGTGGAGAACCCCTTCGACGTGTTTGCGCGAAGCCGAATGGCGATCATACGCGGCGTTGCCAGTTTGCCACAACGCACGCGCACGTTGTGCAGGGGAGTTGGCATTAGAGTATCAGTGTGGTCATTGCGGCATTGCGGCACGATGCTTCAGGCGGCGCGCAACGCCCTTTTCGCTTGCCAGCTGCACGCGTCTTGCGTGGGTGGATGGACCCCGCGCTGCGATGCTTTTCGCGCGGCGTGGTTGCGCCGAGTTTGCGCGACGGTGCCCCCGTCCACGCCCCTGCGTGACTCAGGAGGAAAAGAAACACACAGACACAATTAATGATTAATTGTGTTTGGGGAATAGCCGATTAATTATTAATCGGCTATTCCCCAGAAAATATGGGAAAATATGGGAAGTGGGGGGGAAGCCAAACACCCAGAAAAAATGGGAACATATGGGGAATATTTTTATTTGTGTGTATTTATTCGTGTGTCCCAGGGCCCCTTCAGTGACGACGCATCCCGTAGCACCGTCTTGCATGCCGCCAAGCGTGTTCCTTCTGGGGGCGCAGGGGGCCCCCGCCCCGCCTTCCCTTCCTGGCTGCACGCCAGTGGTTTGGAGAGTCGTTCCGTTGTTTGTCGCCATGCGCTTGCGCGTTCCACGCGCGGCGTTGATGATCGGTTGCTCGCCTCTCGCCCGACCTGTCCCTTTGCCTCCCCCCTTCCTCAATCGCAGTATGGTTTGCTGGTCGCTCACTGCGCGCATCTCAAAGTGGAGGGCCCAGTCGGAGGGCGCGACCCCGTTGATGCATCATACGCGTTGCGGCTCCGCGTGGAGAATCTGGTTTATGCGTTATGCCGATTTGCCGCGATTGTCGGCGTGTCGAGAAGCACCACTCATAAAGCCGTACCACGCGACAGATCGTCGCCCATACCCGTGCAATGGCCTCAACATGTGACACGCCCATCCGCGCCGTTTCGGGGCGTACTCCTTCGTTTTGTACGTCGCCCTCCCCCTCCCTCCGCCCTCCTGTTGTCACGCCTCCCCCTCTTTCACCTCAGTATCCTTATCGTCTTCTTGCCTCTCTTGGGCCCTCACGTGTGGCTTTTGGGCCGTATTGGGCTTGTCGTAAGGGGTCATGTTGGGTTGTCTTGGGGGGCCTCTTGGGGATCTCTGGGGCACTTCGGGGCCATCGTGGGGCGTAGTGGGCTCTCCGGTGGGACTGTTGGTGCAGTCTGGGGTCGCGCCCGCCTGCATGACGTTTTTGGTTGCTTTGCTTGCGGATTATCCGATGCAGTGCCGTTACGGCGTCGACGGCAGCAAATCCGCCTTCACGCCTCGGCAGAACAGTTGCTTCGCGTTTCCAAGCGGTGTGGTTGTTCAGGGGGTGTCGATGGCCACGCTGGGACGTTTGAACGCTGGCCTCCCGCTCCAAGAAAACATTGTGGACCTCAGGAAACTTCGGGCGCCCTACTAACCCGCCCCCCCAGGGGGCCCAAACCACGAAAAATCGTTCGATTCCCTGGGGTCCCGAGTCAGGTCCTTATGTTGGGGCACGGTGGTCCCACAATTAAGGGCCTTAGTTGAGCATTCGGCGGTCACAGGTCCCAAATGCCCCACACGTCCCACAGGTCACACAGGGTCCACAGGCCTCACAGGTCCAGCAGGTCCCACAGGTCGAACAGGACCCGCAGGTCCCACAAGCCCCACACGTCCCACAGATCCCGCAGGTCCCACGAGTCCCACGGGTCCCACTTGTCCCACGGGACCCATAAGCCCCCTATCTCCCATCGCTGTGTCAAGTCTTACAGGTCCAGCAGGTCCCACAGGTCTCGCTGGTCCCACAGGTCCCACTGGTCCCGCAGGTCCGACAAGTCTCATAGGCAGCGCATGGCTCGCAGGTCTCGCGGGTTCCGCAGGCACCACACGTCCCATAGGTCCCACAGGCCACAGAGATCTCGCAAATCCATGAGTTAGTTCTACAGGTCCACAGGTTCCACAGTTCCTAGAGATATCGCATGGCTCGCATTTCCCACAGGCCCCTCGGGTCCCACAGGTCCCACAGGTTCTACACGTCTCACAGGTCCCACGGGACCCACGAGTCCCAGAGGGACCGCAGGTCCCACAGGTCCCACAGGTTCCACAGGTCCCACATGTTTCACGGGCCATACAGGTCCCACAGGTCCCACTGGTCAGACGGGTCCCACAGGTCCCGCAGGTCCCACAGGTCTCGCAGGTCCCACAGGTCCCACAGATCTCGCTGGTCCCACAGGTCCCACAGTTCCCACAGGTCTCGCAGTTATCTCAGGTCCCATAAATCCCAAAAGTCCGACAGGTCTCGCCAGTTTCGCAGGTCCCGCAGGTCCCACAGGTCGAGGTCCCGCAGGTCCCACAGCTCCAACACGTCCCACAGGTCTCGCAGGTCCCAGAGGTCCCGCAGGTCCGGCGGGTCCCGCAGGTCCCACAGGTCTGGCAGGTCCAACAGGTCCCACGGGTCCAACAGGTCCTACAGGTCCCACAGGTCATACGGGTCCCACAGGTCCCACAGGTCCCACAGGTCTCGCAGGTCTCACAGGTCCCACAGGTTCCACAGGTCCTTCATGTCACCCTTGCTGCTATCACGGTGTTTTGTCATTGTTGAATGCGCGCAGTGCAGTGCAGAATGGACCATGCGCAAGTGGAAAACGTTGCCCCACACATAGGGAAATTCGCCTGTCCTGGACTTCTTCTGTGAACTTGTGGAGGCGATATTTTCATCGTGGCCATCCGATAATTCAAACGATTCTGACGACGACGGCTACGACGATTACTCCGACGAAGACGACGGCTCTGACTCACAAAAATGATTCCGACTCCGAGGACGACGATTCCGACAAACACGGTTCCGATGACAACAATTCCGTCGACGATGACGACGACCACGACTCTGGCTCCAACGACGACGGCGACGAATCGGACAACTCCAATGACGACGGCGACTGCGATTCGAATACCTCCGTCGACTCCGACGACTCCGACTCCGATACTGACAAAGACGACGATTCCGACGACGACAAGGACGAGGACGATTCCGACGATCACTCGTCGGAGTCGTCGTCGGAGTCGTCGGAGTCGTCGGTGTCGTGGTCGCTAGCATCGTCGGAGTCAGCGTCGTCGTCGGAGTTGCCGAAATCCTCGCTGTCGGTAAGATCGTCGCAGGCGTAGCTGGAATTGCCGAAGAGGTCGTCGCCCTCGGAGTCGGAGTCTTTGGAGTCATTTCTTGGAGCCGTCATCGGAGTAATCAGAACTTTCGTCGTCGCCGTCATCGTCGTCAGAGTCGTCGAGTCTAAATTGTCAGACACCCCCAGACCAAGAACCAGAAGTTTCCCCCCAGACCGACAAACGGTCTTTCCCAAAAGAGGCAAGAACAGGAAGTTTGGGCCGGCCAGGCCACTACAAGTCGTCGTTTTCCTTGTCGTCGTTGACGTCGTCGTCGTTGTCGGAGTTGTCGTCGTTGCCAGAATCGGAGTCGGAATCGTCGGAGTCGTCGCCCTCGTCATTAGCTTCGTCCGATTCGTCGCCATCGTCGTCGGAGCCAGAGTCGCAGTCGTCGTCGGAGTCGACGGAGTAGTCGTTGTCGCAGTCGTCTTTGTCGGAGTCGTCGTCTTCGGAGGCGGAGGCGTCTTTGCATAAGAAGAGTCAGAGCTGTCGTCGTCGAAATTGTAATCGTAGCCGTCGTCGTCGAAGTCAGAATCGACGTCCTCGTCGGAGACGTCCCCGAAGTCGTCGTCGTCGTCGTCGTCGCGGTCGTCGTCTGCGGCGTCGTCGTTGGAGTCGTCGGCGGCGTCGTCGGAGTCGTCTGTGTCGTCAGCTGCGACGTCGTCATCGTGGTCGGAATCAAAATCGTCGTCGGAGTCGTGATCAGGGTCGTCGTCAGGGCC